GTTTCCATTGCGCCGCTCTCCTAGGCGCTCTCCCGCCGCTCTGCCTGGATCTCCAGGGCGGCGCCGCATTGGGGCCCGCCCCGCGGTCCCTCCCGCCCCGCTCTGGCTCGAGCTCAGAGCCGGCCGGAGCCTGGGTCCGACCGGGCCATGTCCGCTGAACCTGAGCTCATTGAGCTGCGTGAACTGGCACCTGTGCGGCGCGCCGGCCCGGGTCGCACCCGACTGGAGCGTGCTAACGCGCTGCGCATCGCCCCGGGCACAGCACGCCACCACGCAAGGCAGCCGGTCCCGGGCCGCGGCCACCGCTTCCAGCCTGCGGGGCCGACGACGCACACGTGGTGCGACCTCTGCGGCGACTTCATCTGGGGCGTCGTGCGCAAGGGTCTGCAGTGCGCGCGTGAGTAGCGGCCCCACGCGCTGGTCAGAGCGAAACGGGTGGTCAAGGGGCAGCACTGTCGCTGCGGGTCAAGTTGCGATGAAGAGGGCCGGCGGGGAAGGCCCCTGAGGACCAAGTCCTTTACCTTTGTCCCATCGTGGGAGAGACTGCGGGCATATGTTTTACATCCTTGCTGCGCCCCACCTGCCTCTGGGACACAGCTGGGCAGAGGCAGTTAGTTGCCTGTGGATAACAAGGTGCTGATTCAAGTTTCTTATGTTTAAAGTGCCTTGGCTCTTTCTGAGAAAGGCTTTGTGCCTACCAGTCTCTGAGTCCATATTCCCAGGCCTGCCCCTTCCCAAAGATTCACTCACCATGTCCCCTTCCAGAATCCCTAGGATGGGAATTTACCCACTAATGGGAGGGGGCCTGGAAAAAGTTAGAACCTTGGGTGGTCGCCCTGCAAGCAGAAATTTTATTGCGTCTTTATGTAGCAAATATCACAGACCCAGTCAATCAGGTGCTAAAACATGAAAACACAGCTGCCCACATGCCAGCGGTCCTTCTGCCTTCCTGGGAATCAACGGCAAGCAGAGGTTGCTCTCCCACTGGCTACAGACCAGCTAAAATCACTTGGGATGCTTTTACAGCCCTCCAAACCCCTATGCCTGGCCCCTATCTCAGACCTGTTGAATCAGAAACTAGGAGTGTATCAGCGATTTTTAAAAACATTCTCCTAATGTGCAGCCTGGGTTGAGAATCATTGCTCTGGCCCATTTAAGAACTTGGGGAAGGTGTCCCAGGCCTGTCTGTATGTGTGTGGAGACCAGTACACGAGTCTCCTGAATCCAGCTGGGAGGAGACTCTGGAGATGTGACAGAATACAAAGTATGAACAACGGCTAGGACATCACAGTGTTCCCCAGAAATAAAGTGGCTAAAGAGATGAAAAACAGGATAATTTGGGTGTGTGTCAGAGGCAGAAACAAGGAAGGTATAAAGGATGTGTTTTTTGTTTTTGTGTTTTTTTGGCCTCAACTGGGAGAATAGTGGTAATTTTTGCTGAGATGAGGAACTCTGGTGAGGATTGGGTGAGATGGAAAAAAAATGAGTTAAATTTTGGCCATGTTGGGTTGAAATGTCTGTTAGACATCGAGAAGATACATACAGGATTTGATCTGAAGAGGGAGGTCAGTGATGGAAGCCTTAGATCGGGGGTAGGTGAGTGTACACGGAGCAGGGCAGTGAATAAGACTGAGCCTCTGTGACACTCCGCCATTAGATTTGGGAGTGAAGACAGAATCAAAGGGGCTGAGCAGGAGCTGCCAGGAGGTAGGAGGGAAAACCGGGGTCGTGGGGGCCCGTGGGAACCAAGGGGAGCAGCATAAAACGTTGCTGAGGCGGTGAGGATGGAGAAGGGGCCGCCGGATTTGGCATTGCGCAGGTTGCTGAGGACCTGGACCAGGGCAGTTTCCTGGAGGGAGAGGCAAACCCGACTGAATCTGCTAGAAGAGTGAAGGCAAGAAATTGAGTGCATGTAGACCAGTGTTGATAAGTTTTGGTATGAGGAGAGTTGAGACATAACTAGAGGGGGACATTGATTAAAATGTTTTTTTCCCCTTCAAGGGTGGAGGGAGGGGGCAGACAATGCGGAAGGGGGAAGTTCTGCGCTAGGCGATATAGCTCCAACTGCTGAGTAGGCCAGGATCCCTAGCCGCCTGAGGCCTTCCCTCCAGTTTCCAGACGCGGGGGACGAACATTAGACTTTGTGTAGCGGTGGGCGGTAAGGGGGCCGGAAATAAGGCCGATCATGGAGAGCCCGGCGGGCAACGTCCTTCACCCCCGGGCTTCTCTTCCGTCCCTGGGACGCTTCCCCGAGCTGGAGCTGGGGCTCCTCCGCCTCATAGCCAGGCCTCTCTGCAGATTGCAAATTCACGTGCCACTACCGCTGCCGCGCACTCGTCTGCCTGGACTGCTGCGGGCCCCGGGATCTGGGCTGGGAACCGGCGCTGGAGCGGGACACAAACGTGGTGAGCGCGGGGCCGGGGTTTGGGGGGTAAGAGTGAGGCAGAGACGCGCACACGAGCGCGCCACATCGCAGGCAATGCCTAGATCCGCTCGGCGTGAAGCGCAATGAGCGTTCTAACAGCGGATTTACCCGCGGCAGAGTGATTAACTCTGCGCGCGGGCTCGAACGGGTGCCGGGGGTGCTGCCTCCGCGCGGACTGCCCCAATCGTCCTGGGTCGACGCCCACGCCATGTCCACACGGTCCAACATTCTCTTCCGGTCCTGCGGCCACGCTGGTGCACATGCGCACACCCTCCGACTTGTTCCCAAGGGAGGCGGGGCCTGCGGGCGGAGCGGAGCTGAGCTGCCTGGGCGATGAGATCATTCCCAAAGGCGAGGCGCGTGAGGCCCCGCCCCTCAAAGTTCCTCCCCCAATGAGACCAGAGCTAGAGCCTGCTGGCTACATTTCAGTGCTAACGGTTGCAGCAGTGACACGGGTTTTGGCGCACGCGCACACGGGCAAGTGCGCACGCGCAGGCGCACGCGCGTCTGGGGCGGTGGTTGGAGACTACCGGCGCACCGAGGTCCGGCTGCTGGCTGGCGGGCGAGCGGGCGCGGCGATGGGTGAGGTAGATGCGGGGACGCCCTCCTTCGAGATGACCTGGAGCAGCACGACAAGCAGTGGTTACTGCAGCCAGGAGGACTCGGACTCGGAGCTCGAGCAGTACTTTACGGCGCGTACTTCGCTAGTGCGCCGGCCGCGCAGGGACCAGGTGGGGACCGGGAGTTGGGGGCGGTGGATTGGGGGCGGTTGCTGGGACCCCGCCCCTCCCCGGTAAGTTCCTGTATGGAGAGTTTGTGGGCAGCCCCACGCTCCGGTCAGCATGGATCCCGGGCCAGCCTTTGGAACCATGTGTCAGTCTGTCTCTAAGCGCGTCAGTACTGGGTGCCGAGGCGTTGCTCTCTCTGTCACGCACCGGTTGAACCAGGGGAAGCGGCTATGTGGCTTGAGGTAGACCAGGGACAGGCATTATCCACCTATGACTAAAGCTGACGCGCAGTCTGGACTAGCACCTCGATTTCCGCGTTTGGGCGCTCCCACCCGCTCTGGGAGACCAGGAGAAGGAAGTGGAGGGGGAGGAGTCCTCGCCGGGAATTGAGAAGTTTTTAGGAGGGAAGCGAAGGAAGGTCCACACCCCTCCTTACACACTCCTGGATGGAGCCAGCCGAGTCCCCACTTCTTGCCGGTCCTGGCTTGTCACCAGCTGCTGGAATGTGGCGAATTCTGATCTCCATTCTGGAGTGGACTTGGAGTGCTCGCTTCAGCAGCACATATAATAAAATTGGAGTGGATCTGGAGAAAGGAGATTTGGGAATGGATGGGAAGGAGGCCTTGTTTTGGACCGTAAACGTCTAGAAGCTCTTTATCCACAAGAGATTGGGAAGGCTCGATTGCAAAATGGCTGCGGAGGGGGCTAAGAGAGATAGGAGTTACTAATCCAGGACTATAAGGAGCAGCTGTGTCTCTTGGAGTCTCCTAGATGTCCCCATTAGCAGAGACGTCTGTGCTGTGTGCCATGAGTGTGACCACCAAGCTCAGATAACTAACTTCTGGAGCTGGTTCACTTCAGGGGAACACCCTGGCCAGAGCATTAGGAAAGAGAGCCGGGGACTATGAAGCATAGTATACCCGGCAGCAATGGGACAGAATTCCTCACATGAACCAAGAAGAGGGAGTTTTAGATGAAAAGTTTATACCTCGAAGTCCAGCCCAGAGCTTGGATGCAAGGTTTGAGTTTGGATCCCTAGCCTGTCTCTATGCCACTCAGGCCTGAGCCGTTTTCCATTATCGAAAGGTGAGAAAACAAGACACTAATCGATTGAAAAGGAGGCTGTGGAGTCCCAAGTCGTAAATAAAATAAAACCATCAGTCGCTATGGACAGTGGCAGAGTGGAGAGTGAATTGCTACCGTGCAGGAGACAGGAAAGTCCACGGTCCTGCTGTGCATCCCTCTGGGATGGTTGTTGGAATCCTCCTCCACAGTCAGCTTTGGAAATGGAAAAAGAAACCCTTCCTCCTCTAGAGTCCTGACAGGACAGTGCAGACCTCCCGTCTAGGTCTCTTGTTTTATGAATAAAGATGCCGAGGCAGGTTCACCTGGTGAAGGAATGGGGCTGGAACTGAGGTCACTGCATTCCCAGTCCAGGGCCCCTGGATTACTTGGGAAAGGGAGAAGAAGCAAGTTTTCTCATTCCCAGGCTGGAGCTCAGAGCCATCACATGGAAGGGGAATAAGTTGGTGCCATCCCGGTGCCCACCCTGTTCTGTAAACAGAATTCTCATTCTTCTTGCTCTGGCCCTAGAATCTGTTCAGCTTTCCTTTTGCCCCTAGCATCATCCCTCCCATCCTGGCACTTTTCACTGGGACACTCCTTCCTGTCCCAAGCTCTCTCCTTGGTCCTGAACAAACATATCCACCCTTTATTCCCAGGGTCCAGCCCCCATTTTCCTCCCTAGAACCCACATTTTCTTCCAGAGCCCACACCATCTGTTCTTACTAGCCTTATGGGGTTTCCCACTGTCCCCACCAAGGTTTTGCTAGAGTTTTCACTTCTCAATGCTCTTCTCCATCCAAGAGGCCTTTGGAAATTTGGGGAAGCAAATAGGCTTCAGTTCCCACTCCTCCCCCAATACCTTTTTCCTGTGGTGCCCCAGCCTTAGTCTTCAGCCCCATGTACTTGCTGGCTGCTGAAGAGCAGTGCGTTCTAGGTGAAGAGCATACTGCTAAAAGGCTGTGGACTTCACCCTACGTCCTTATCTGTCCTGTTTGTCCCCATCAGATGGTTTCAGATGGGAGCTCCAGAGCAACAGTCGAGGAGAAGCTTGGCTGTCCTGGGCTCAGAGCTGGTCACGAGGTTATAATACAGGAAACCTTCTGATGGGAACTCCCTTTGGACTTGGGACAAGGCATTGGTCCTCACACTGATCTCAGCTGTGTCTGTGACACTTCCATTCCAACTAGGGCCTATCTGACGTCAACAGGAAGTAAGGCTGGTGAAAGAAAGTTAATTGAGAGCCCTGGCTGCCCTAGTGCATACTCCACCCTTCTGACAAGAACCCAGTTCCTGGAGGGGCAGGGGAGAGACTGAGTGGAGGAGCTAAAATCTTTGCTGTGAACATCCAGACAATGGGAAGGAGGTGCAGAAGCCTACCTGCTTGGCGCTTGTGGGACAGGCTCTCCAGGAGACTGCCTGTGCACCTCTGGCAGATTGGAACCTGGCCTGAAGCTACCTTTTGTGCAGCTTGGGTCAGGATCAAATGGCATGCCACAGTGGTTTACTTACTATGTCTGAGACATGCAGGGCTGGCCCCAAGCCCTCCACCAGGGCCGTTGTAGAGGTTGCCCTTCCTCTCCTGCCCACAGATAGCTGGGCTCCTGGTGTGCACCAGTCCTCACACCTCTCACTCTGCAGTGGGTCCATGGCCCTTTGCCAGGGCAGAATGGCAGAGTGGGCTGCCTTCTCCAGAACATATCCTGACCCCACCCTGACATTAGGCTGTGTAATTGAGAGGTAGTTTTACTGTAAACCAAGAGTCCCTCCTCAGTATCCCCTATCGTTTTCTGGCCTCTGGCCTCGTGCCTTTACTTGCCTAGGTTTTAAGGTACCTGTAGGGCCCCACCTAGAGAGAAGCCAAATGATTCTGCCTTTGCTGTCTCCATCCGTAGTGTGCAGAACCAGTGATGGATTCTTCTCATCAGATCTTGAGCTTTGTTGTCAGTTTCCAAAGGCTGCCCCAGAAGTCATTTTTTTGGAGTGGCCCACCTGGGCTCACCTCTCTGCCTGTGTCATGCAATGAAGTGGGATAGGTTTCTTAAGGGCCCTGTGTCCGTGCTGACCCATCTTTCAGGATGAACCTGTGGAGTGGGATATACCTGACCTTTCTCAGGCTGAGATTGAGCAGAAGGTCAAGGAGTACAATGGCCAAATCAACAGCAACCTCTTCATGAGCCTGGTGAGTTGACTGCCTGGGAAGGGGATGTGGGGTGAGGCGGGAATCCAGCTGTGTGCCTGATGCCGAAAGGGTCGCAGCTGAGGTATTCTTGGGTGGACCCAAGCAGTGATTTATTCAAGTCCTAGTGGACTGCTGGTGCCCAGTTCTGTTCCATCTCACCTGGAACCTAGTCATGGTTCGGTTTCTCTTCAGAACAAAGACGGCTCCTACACAGGCTTCATTAAGGTTCAGCTGAAGTTGGTGCGCCCTGTCTCGGTGCCCTCCAGCAAGAAGGCACCCACGTTGCAGGATGCCCGACGGGGCCCAGCGCGGGGTCCAGCTGTGAGGCGCCGCACCTCCTTCTACCTGCCCAAGGATGCTGTCAAGCACCTTCATGTGTTGTCACGCACACGGGCAAGAGAGGTCATCGAGGCCCTGCTGCGCAAGTTCTTGGTGGTGGATGACCCCCGCAAGTTTGCGCTTTTTGAGCGAGCTGAGCGCCATGGCCAAGGTGGGCTTCCTACCCGACCCCACCATGTGTGAGGATACATATGCATGCAGCTGTGTATGCAAGGGGGCTGGGCCTGACCCTAACCAAACACTCCCTTCTCCCTGCCTGGCCTTCAGTATACCTCCGGAAGCTGTCAGATGATGAGCAGCCCCTGCGGCTACGGCTCCTTGCAGGGCCTAGTGAGAAAGCCCTAAGCTTTGTCCTGAAAGAGAATGACTCTGGGGAGGTGAACGTGAGTACACAGCTCTTCTTCGTTTCTTGGTTGTCACTGGGCAGGGCTGGTGAGTTACAGCTACAGTAAGGCTTGGAGGAAGAATAGGGCTGGAGGACAAGCCCTGCAAAGCCTCTCCAGGAGCGTGTGAACTTTGTGGCTAAAGTGAAGGCTTCCTGGCCACTCATGCCAAGGTCTAGGGCTTGTCCCAAAAAGCCAGGAAGAACTATGTTGGCACTCTGCTCTGTCCCATTGTGGAAAGTTCTCAGGAGATACAGGAGTCCATCTGATGGTATGGTGATCCAGGCCAGATCAAAGCCACATGGATGAACCCAGATGGTCATGGAGGCTCCCAGTCAGACATTAGGACTTTTTACCTGGAAGCCATCTGGCTTTCAGGTATTTGGGTCTATGGAGTGAGATTAGACTCAGAGTGTGGGAATGACCTGTCCACAAGTAGCTGGGAACGTGCGGTTTGGCTGCCTGTTCACGAGGTGACTGCCCTACTTTGTAAGACCCATCTTCTATATGGACTGGGTGGGAATCCTAGGACAGACCATTCCAGCAAGAACCTGACATTAGAAAGCCCAGTCCTAGCTGTGTGACCATGATGCTCTGGTCTTCTCTGGGGAGGGTCTGCTGGCCATGCCTACTACAGTTTGTGTCACCCCTTCGTGCTACAGTGGGATGCCTTCAGCATGCCTGAACTACACAACTTCCTCCGCATCCTGCAGCGGGAGGAAGAGGAACACCTCCGGCAGATCCTGCAGAAGTACTCCTTTTGCCGCCAGAAGATCCAGGAGGCCCTGCACGCCTGCCCCCTGGGGTGACCTCTTGTACCCCTAGGTGGAAGGAAGAGAGTAGGCAGCGCCAAGGGCGTGCTGTGTGAGTGTGACAGGGCCCGTGTGGCCTGAGGAATGAGTGTGCATGGAGGGGAAATGAGCCCAAAGAACAGTGAAGGAGCTGGCCCCCTGTGTCCACCAGGGGGTGTAGCAGAGCATGGTTCTGGGTTGGTGGGCCAGGGTTGCCCTGGGAAGCTGCTCCAGGCTTGCAGCAGGGTTAGAGCAGACAGAAGTCTCCTTAATTCGTATCTCAGATGCGAGAATCTTGGAGACCCTATAAGCAGTATAGGGTCGTGTTTGTAAGGATGAAGATCCTCATCTATGGGGAAAGGTTGTATGTTTTGGGTCTTGGATGGGGTCACAGGATAGCCCTATCAGAGCCAAGGGTGAGTGTTTAAGGTAAGGCAGGCATCATGGAAGAGTCTAGATTTTCCTTTACAGTACCCTCTGGCTCCACACACACCCTGGGGTCAGGGAGCGCTGGCTTACAGTGCAGCAACAGTGCCTCAGTGCCTCTTCCAAGGAAGATGTCCATGGGCCGGAGTCTGTGAGTGTGAGCACTGGCCCAGGTCTGTGCCTTGTTTGCCAGTCAAAGCCAGGGTCTTTACTTCAGGTATTTTTGATGATGCGAGTGAATGTATGTAACATTTTGTGGCCTCAGCTGAATGCCTCCTGTAGGAAAAGGGGTGGGGGGTGACATCATCAAGACTTGGCCCCTGAAAAGATTTGGCTGAATAAAAATTTAAGAATCTCCTACTTTTGGACTCTTCATTATGGGCCCTCAGCTTGTTGCCCCTCATATCATTAGCTGCCAAGGGTGATGGACAGGCTCACAGAACACCTTTTCAAGGTCACCATGGAACCAATTTATGAAGGATGTTCGGTACTGATATGTACTCAGTCATCAATCAGCACCCTGGGGCTCAGGTCTTGGTGTGAGCAAGAATATCAGCTGCAGCTAATGCTTAGGGAAACCACACACCTCGCAAGCTGTGTGAGACGCTTCACTAAATACTTGAGCTACTTCTGTGAACCAGACACTGCTCACGGCACCGAAGGTACAGCTATCCATTCTTGCCATCATGAAGCATATCTTCGGGTGGTTTTGGGAACACTGAATTGGAAGTTTTTCAGACTTGAATGTAGTTATATGACATTTGGCCAATTCCTTGATTTTCCTTACGTTCGGTTTCTCCACATCTGACAGTAGTGATCTCAAAAATGGTGTGGGAATAGAATGAGGCCAGATACGCACTGCGTGGGCTGGCCTGGGATCAGGCCTCAAAATGCTGTTTTGGGGAACCCTGGTGGTTGAGCAGTCCCGCTGGATCTGACCTTCGGAATACGGAGACACGCCAAAGAAGCCAGCAGGACTAGCCACTGTTTTCCTGGGTGGGAGCTGCCGCAGCTGGAGAGAGCGTGGCCTGCCGGGACCTGACATCTCGCAGTGCGTGCTGGGATGCCTAGCGTCTGAGGGCGGCTATTGGTTCCGCTCTGCAGACCGACGAGAGAAGCAACCAATCGAAAGGGGCAGCGTGCGAAGCGTACGGAAGCGGAAATGAGGTTTCCGTGGAGACAGCGGAGCCTGCGGAAGACGGCGGCGGCACCTGCGAGGGGAGGCCGAAGCAGGGTATGGCGACGCCGACGGCCCTGTGAGAGCGAAGCGGCCGCGGGGTCCGCCATGAGCCGGCGGCCCTGACATGGGCGCCAGCGGCTCCAAAGCTCGGGGCCTGTGGCCCTTCGCCTCGGCGGCGGGGGGCGGCGGTCCGGAGGCGGCGGTCGCAGAGCAAGCTTTGGTGCGTCCGCGAGGCCGAGTCGTACCCCCCTTCGTATTCACGCGCCGCGGGTAAGGGCGTGGGTTCCTCCCGTGGGAAGACAGGCTAGCGGCTAGGCTCCCCGCGTTGTCGGTAGCTTCCGCCGCCGTATCCCTTGCACCCGAGTTAGGACCACTCCCATACTTCGGGCTCGCATTGGAGTAAGGGATGTGGAAAGCCGGGCAGTTGGTTCCTGGCGTCCTGGCTACTCTTAAGGTCTCCCTGGGAGAAGAGTGGGCCTGTAGCTTGTCCCCGGGCAGGCAGCTTTATGCACGGTAAAGCTAAGAGCGCCTCTCCGCGACTTCAGGACCTCTTCCTTTCATCCCTTCCAACCCAGCCTGCAAGTTGAAGCCTCCTAGCCTTCCTCTCCCCCAGCTCTTTTGAGAGAATGACCCTTTGTTTTGGCTGTTTCTGTTCCCTACAATGGCGAGGAAAGGGGCTGGGAAAG